GTATCACTAACCACTCTGAGTGGTTACCAATCAGATGAAGAGTATGATGAAAACAAACCCATGGCTTTGGATTTCTTTTTGGTTACTCATTTGCCCAGTGAAATGTATGTAGAAGTGATCCAGTTGGCTGTGCAGCCCCCTTCCTACCAGTCTCCCTGCTGGGACATCTGGGTGACCTCCTGTTAAGGGAACAGTTGGCAGAGATCCTGACCAACATCGTAGAGGGGAAAGTTCAGACCTTGAAAAGGTTCAGCTGGATCCTGAACATTTAGAAGTCTGTGCTGGATCCAAACAGGGCTGTAGCTACCATGGGGCGAGTGAGGCACTCCTCAGGCGCTGCTGAGAGGGGGCGTAGCAGGGGCCGGCCTGGCTGCGCCCCTTGCCCCTGTTTCCAGGGCGAGCACGGGGCGCCATTGGCAAAAGGGGTGCCAGGCGGCCAACACAGCCGCGGCTCAGCAAGGAGAAGAGGAGCGGCACAGGCTCCAGCTTCTCCTCGGATCCCCGCTGCTCTCCCCCACCTGTATGGGCAGAGGACTCTGTCCTCAATCTCTTTTTCTATTTTAAAAGGGAAATGTCAGGGGTCTGTTTTATTTCTCGTCCAACTATTTCTTGGTGGCTAAGACATAACATTCAAGCAGTTTTCCTTCTATTCTGGTTGCAATGCAAAATTTGGGATTTTCTTTAACTTTCACTCTCGGTGATTATGCTCAATGAAGATAGACTGTAGTAAAATCCTGACAGGTGTTCTAATCCTTCTCCATTCTATGCAGTACTAAAAATTATGGTCCTTGGTGTAATAACCTTACCTGCAATTCTGGAGAAAAGACACTGGTCCCATTCACTGCATTCTGCTGAATTCAGCTCTCTGCAACGCTCTGTACTCATTTCTAGAGACAACCAATTTTCTAAAATCTGTATATTCAACATTTACAAGAATTTACCTGAAGAAGAGACGCCATAGAAATTAAAGGGCAGTCAGATGTCTAGGCATAATCTGGCCACCTCCTACATCTATGCCAGCCACCAGGTACCTAAACGCAAACGTTATTGTATACATGCCTAGGGTAGGTCGGCCCATGTTGTACGCATGGCCACTTCCCCTAAATGAGCAAGTGACAGGGTCTCTTTAACACTGACATTGAGACTGTAATTCTCACCAGTGTCTTTATAGTAGTGACTGTAAGCCTGTGCAGGGTCCTCCTCACCTCCTTTATCACGTTTTTACTTTTTTGTCTGGTGTCTTTAATTTGCATGCCTTCTATTATTCAAATGATAGGATTGCATGGTATGTTAACATTTTACAAATAAAGAAAGTTTAAAAAATTTATGTTACACTGAAAGCTTCCAGTTATGTACCTGCTGCTCAAAACTCCGCTCTGATAATTTTGGATTGGTCTTTTTCTCCAGGGCACTTTAAACATCTATGGTTATTATATGCAGCAACAATCACATTACAGTTTGCGGTGACAGATGAAATGTGCTTGGATGCATTCTGCCGTTTGTCTTACTGAATAAGCCAGTAAATCTGAATCATTCTGGAGACATTACTATGTAATCAACATGGAATAATGAGAATATGTCATAAACTGCACTGTTGCTGTCACCTTCTATAGCAGTTATGGTGAATTAGATAACATAGCTTATTTGCTTTACCACTTCTTCCTGTTAAAGGAGGACAGGAACTAGATAGATGGTAAATAAGACCTTTGCTGAGACGATATGAATTCATGTTTTGCCTGTGCTGTATCTGTATTTATAACTATAGTAAGCTCATGCATTAAAGTGACACTAAACTCAGGCGTTAAATCTTAAAAATGCATTCAAGTACCTTAATTAGCAACACAAATGTATCTTATTTGCTTATTTGTGTATCACTCAGCTGTAAATGCTCAAATAATCTCTGAATTGGTGCTGACACTGTCCTACCTTCTGGAGGGTGGCTCCTTTTTGTTCCCCATGGTCCCTGTGTGTGATGTAAAGTAGTCACCACTCCAAGCTCACTCCTGTGATGGACTACAATCATGTTTAGTTTATTAATTTGTATTGAGATTGTAGTCCATCATGAGAGTGAGCTTGGAGTGGTGGCTACTTTACAACACACACATGGATCATGAGGAACAAAAGTAGCCACCCTGCAGAAAGAAGGACAGTGTCGGCACCAATTCAGAGATGATTTGAGCATCTACAGCTGAGTGATACACAAATGAGATACATTTTTGTTAAGGTACTTGAATGCATTTTTAAGATTTAAGCTTGAGTTTAGTGTCACTTTAATTTCCAAAGCTCCAAACTATAGAACATGATCTCTTTGCAATAGTAGAATTGCATTGTGTTAAAGGAGATTCAGTTATTTTAGAAAATGTGATCAGATTTTGGCGAGAGGAGGGGGGAAGATGCTGGGCCAGCACAGACAATAATTAGACATTCCTTGAAGAAGGCTGTGGCTTGCAGGGAGGAGGGCTTTTCTAGGGAATTGCAGTTTACATGCAGTTTTTGAAGTTGGTCTCAGGTTATCTTTAAGTGAAAGCATTCCTGCTGCCTGACCCAAGATTTTTTTCCTTCTAATTGCAGGTACACACAATGCTATATTCAGGTACCAGTCATTCCAATCTAGCAGCTAACAGGCTCTAGTTGCTTCTTTTGACAATTTAAGAATGGACACAAAATGAGGCCTAATCTGCATTTTTCACATAATGGCTGGCTTACTTCCCAGATTTGTCTATTCCTGCTTTTTTTTTTGATCATGGCAAATTTGCTTGGTGATCAGGGACAGAATCATGTCTTCTGTAGACCTTATTCTGCTAGTTAATGTACTCTTGGCCAATACACATATTGCACAGTCCTCTGGAGCTGCCATCCAGCTAGGACACTCATAACTGTAGGCACAGACTGGCAGAGTTTAGGCCTTAGTTTAGTAATCCCACACTTTCATTGCTAGCTAGAGAAAGTGTGTGAATCTAAGCATCTGGCTGGGCCTGATTCCACCACTTCCTTAGTTGCCTCCTTCCATTACTAGTACCTGGACAGTAGAGTGGTCAGGGACAGAAGGGCTGTCCAGATGCACTGTATGACACATATAAGATCCACATTGTACAATGTATTCTTCATGGTGTTTTTTTCAGATGCACTTTTGTTTACCTTTTTTTTTACATTTCATAAAGGAACATGTGTTTAATAGAGTACATATAGAAATGTACTGAAGAAAGGAGGGTGGTGCATGTAGGAAATACAGATCACATAGTAATCTACACAAATCGATTTTTCCTCTCGATATCTGCCAGAGCTGTAAAATGCTACCATGAGCTTCATCCATCAGAGGTGTAAATGTGAAGGATTAGTCCTGGGAATAGTACACAGATTGTCTCGGCTGTTTTGCAGAAGAAGCTGAGTCAGCTGAGAGGCTAACTGGCATGAACCATTGCTTGAACAACAGCGGGTAATCTTGCCTTACATCTGCGCTGAACATTCAGATATAGAAGATATGCCAGAAAAACCAGCTACATGCAGCTTTTTTCAGGATTTAAGTTTGAGATTCCTTAATTAGTATCAGAATCCAGCATAGCTTTTCTTTTTCTTTCTTGTAATTTGTGCCTAATTGTTCCCTAAAATGCTGAGGGCAAGTTATACCATGACTTTTTTCTTGTTTTTGTTTTTTTAATTAAATTAAATCCTGCTTACCATTTCTTAAGATTTAACCTAAACAGTTAGGATTTGCTGTAGTCTGCAGGTTTTTTTGTGTTTTACAGCTTTTGCATTATGCAACCCTGCATGTGGTATCTTTTTCTCTGTGCGCTGCCAGTAATAGAGACTATATGGGTGTTCTTTTTTTCTAGCTGCAGATTTCTTATGACTCCAGCTTTTCTTCAAACAAGTAAATGTTATCCACTGACAGCAGGGCATCATGGTGCAGTTCACAGATCTTTATTTCACTGTGTTATTGTTGGATCCATTATTGAGTGGATTATAAAGGAGGGATGTTGTACATATTCAAGCTAAATGTGTAGCTTTTTTGAGTAGCCTTTAAACCAGGGGTCTCAAACTCAATTTAGTCGGGGGCCACTGGACACATTTTTTAGTCCCGTGGGGGTCGCTACTATATACAGTACCAGTTTTAATGTATGCACATGTTACAAGCGGCAACTGTCACCGATTCAAATTAATGATAGGATGACAGCCGCTGCATGTAAATGCTTGCACACCGCATGTAATCATATGTGAAAGGATTACATGTAGTTACGAATCAATCACTATCCCTGGATACACAATTACCCCTGTGACCAGACCAAAGACTGCTCCAAATAAGATATGTATCCTATAAAGAAAAAGAGGAGGGGGGGGGTTCTGTCTAAAGAACAACTTGATAGGCATTGGGCCTATGGTAAATTTTTAAACTTGGGTCCGCTCTTAGCAGAAATGTTTTTTGTACACGTCCGGGGGTGTGGAAATTTTGGAAAAAACTACTTGTCCAAGGACTAAAGTGGGGGGTTACCTGTCACCTCCAACACAGGAGTTCTAGCAGGCACTGTTGCTAGAACTCCTGTGTGACAGGAATGAGCAGCAGCCGCTGAGGACAGAGGCTGAGGGAGGTGACAGAGCCTGTCACTACTGAACGCCCCCCGCTTTGTCCCCGCTCTGAGCGCTCCACGTTCCGTCCCCGCTCTCGGCGCCCTCCGCCCCCCGTTTGCAGCGGCGCTCTCGGCGCTCATTTAAGAAAATATATAAACCAGCCCTGCTACTTGTCCGTAGCAGGGCTAAAACAGTGTAAAAAGCACTTGCCCGGCGCCCGGAACTACATGTCTCGGGCGTCGGGCGATACGAATTCCACACCCCTGGCGTCTTATAAAAAAATGTTTCTTTATGCTTACTGCCTGTTTGCCATGAAATGTATAGACTATGTGCTCCTAAAGCAAACACTTGTCTTGAGTGTTGTAGCCGGTGTGTTTGTACACAACTTTCCAGATGTTATGCTTTTGCTGATTACTTTGTTTGTTATTCCTTAGGAACCATGCGATATGTCAGAAAAACCCTCTACCCATTAGACTCCGCTCCAGCTAAAGGCATTTGTTGGGAGTGGATGAATGATGATGGCTGTTGGACAGCTTACGAAACGCATATCTGCATATACCTGGAGGAGAAGTTGACTAATGGAAACCGCTCTGTAGATCTTGGAGCACTTGGACTCCACTACCTTATTGACTTTAACTCATTCGTTCAGATAAATCAGGCCACTGGATTTAAACGACGTGTTCAAAGGAACCTTGGTGCACCTTATCCTACAACGCCAAAGGCAGGACCTGCACATAAGTCGACAGCATGTGCTTGTCACCAGTGTCTGGCAAGCAGTCATGCGGGGCCTATGCATCGGTATCGACACTCCATGATCAATCTGCCTACATCCGCAAATTACCAGAGCAGTAGCCGAATATCTACCAATAATGTTGGTTATTTACCATATCCTAAACCTACCATGACTAGTGCGAAGTCGGCACCAAAGCTTAATAGCACGTGGGTACCCTCCTCAACGCCTTTGCAACTTGCTGGTCCATCATCTGCTAATGGAATCAGGTAATTGATGTTTCCAATTCTTACATGACATGTTTTTTTTATAAGTATAATATATATCAACACTAATGTAATTCCTAGGTAAACATAGGTATAGTAAATTTACACGAATGTTGGATATCCATAAATTAGATTTTAAGGCCCTATTCACACAGGGACTTTTGCCACATTCTGGGATTCCTGCTGTAAGAACCTATGAATTATTGTGCCAGGAATGCCAGGTGTCCCTGTTTAGATGCAGCCGCTGCACCTATTCAAGTTAATGACGGGGTGACAGCAGAGCATCTTTCAGTGGCAGTGCAAACAACTACATGCGGCGTGGGATAGATGACTGTCCCTGGAAAGATGCGTCCAGCGACAATCATCTATCCCAAACTGCATGTTAATTATATCATGTACGATTACATGTGGACTGCCTCTGACAGATGTGGCTGCTGTTGCCCTGTCATTAACTTGAATGGATACAGCGATAGCATCTCAACTGACACCTGGCATTATTGCCACATGAAGCCGTAGCTTCTTGCCGCAGTAATCCCATAACGCAGTGTGTGAATACCGCCTAAGGCACCAGCATTACATTGGGTATTCAGTACAAGCATTGCTAAAAAAAAATTATATATA